CTTGGGTGCCAACAGTTTGGGGAAGTCCGTAAGACTGGACATCACCCACGGGACTGAGATGTTTGCAGTTTTTGAGGAACCTTTCAGAAGAAAGCATTGCTGAGTTCAACCATGCAAGGCGTGCGGTGCAAGCTTCCTGCACACCTTTTTGAAGCTGTGCTGACATTTCTGCCTCACCATAAATGAGAAGCACAATTGCTGCAGATTTTTGCCATGTGCCGAACAAAGAACTACAACGCTCAGTTTAAACTGTCTGCCGCTACAGTTTTGCGAAAGACTGTTACCCCAGATTGTCTCCATTTTCCAACAATCTTTAGACGACGACCCTTGTACAATCCATCTAGAACCCCATGCCTTAAATCGGATGGTCCCTTGACTCCAGCCAGTACACCCTAAGCCGTAAGCTCCTCAGTCCATTTGGGAGGTTTTCAACATTAGGGTACTTTTTTTTGGGGCACCCTTTTTATTAGGTGCCCCGTGGTACTGGAATGCTAATCGGTGTCCAAAATGGCACCATAGGTCAGACTTTTTTGACAGCCCTCCAAATAATTGAATTGAGCTATCGTCGAATCTCCTAGTATCCCCCTTGATAACCCCTATGGTAGGCCCCTGTATAATCCCTTATATAACCCCATTTTTTAAGGAGTTTAGACTACAGCTCAATTGGGTGATTCAACCCTAAACCCTAAACCCCAAATCCTGAACCCTGAGCCCTGAACCCTAAATTGGGTGGAGGCATGAGTTCGGAGCTGCACGTGTCCTGTGCAGTGACGATCTTCTCCTTCGCTTGCGCCTCGGGGGCTGGGTGAGGACGATGCTGTTCGGTCACATGATCTACGGAATCTACGGACTAAATTTAGGCCGGGGGGGTTATAGGGGACTATATAGGGTTGTGCGGGGGACCCATTAAGAGATATTCTACAAATTCAATCCAGGGCTCACATAGTTCTGGCGTTTGGGGTTTGATGAGTTTGGGGTCTGGGGCTTACGGTTAGGGGTTTTTCGGTTAGAGGTGTGGGGGTTTATCGTTTTTTAGACTTTGTTTTTGGAGCGTGTTTCTGATTTCTTGGGAAGCTCGGCGGGTGTATAGAGGCGGCTTCCTTTTCAGGGACCACAAACAGAAGGCCTTTTTTGGATGAATTCGCTCAAAATGGGCATTCCTTGAAAAGCTTGCACGGGAGTGTATAAGAGTGTATAGGCTAGGTGGACCCCAACCCAGCAATACAGTAGTGACTACAAGGGATAACAGCCTCTGATACTTCTATTCTACCACTATTACAGGGTGGGGGGTCCATCCAATGTACAGAGGTTAGAGTTCCCAAGTGTTCAGGGCCATTTCTAGAGGATCTAGGGGGGTACGTACATTTGGGAAAGGGTCCTGAGTGCTACACAATAGATTCCTGAAGAGGCATTCTAGGATCCCCTGGACCTTAAACCTTAAACCCCAAACCTTGAGGGTTTAGGGTTTCCTGTTTCGGGTTTAGGGGTAAACCCTAAGCCCTAAACCTTAAACCCCAAACCCTAAACCCTGAACTCTAGCTCCTCATGTCCTTATGGATCAGACGTTGGCTCCCTAGGCTTTGTTGTGGCAGTCAGTTTGTCACAGTTTCCCTTGTGGGTGTAGCCCCAGTACTTAGATCCAGTCAGGGTTCCTAACCTGATAATCACTTGCATGCATTCGAACAATGTGTTTGGGGCACAGCTGGGCATTTGCAGGAACTTGTCGGTTCAAGGTATGTATGAAGATTTTCTCGGCTTCCCAAGCTTCAAGGTCAGTTGGGTGCCTCGCAACATCTAAATTTAAGGAAGGCGCTCCCCACAAATGTTTACCCTTTGGTATAGATATTTCGCAAAAGGAGGGTCAGTTGTCAGGCGGAAGGGGTTAGATCCTTGGTGTTGTTTCATCTTTTTCTCAGCGGTCTCATTGCCCATCTTGTTGCTATTCATTATGGTGCACTGATGCAATTTGAGGTTTCTTCAAAGCGGAGGCGCAAGCTAGACTTCAACATGTTGCAATCCTTATTGCGGAGACTCTGCCTTCTTGTTTCTGGAAACCTTAACCCTCATTCCGAAACTCGAGATATCCTTGTGTAACCTCTATGTAGCCTCTAAAAATCTGTTAAAGGGACTTTCGGTTTTGAGGTATGACCAGAACCCCACGCACTGCCAAGGACTTGAGCAGAATCGAATCGTGGAGCCTCGAAAGCCAAGGCCCTTGGCTCAGCCGTTTTAGTTTTTGGTTAATTAATGTAGGGGCCAAAGCATTCAATAATGCAGAATCAACTGGAACATGGAACATGAAATGGAAGCTAATGTTATGTAGCAGTTCACAGAGGCAGATAACCAATGATAAAGGATCAGTTGGATAAGAAAAAGAAGGATGAAATGGAAGCTGGGACTCCATAGTGGTTCATAAGGTTCAGGACAGGTAATATCCCTTTCAATTACCATCACACAAAACGTGAGTGTTTTGTAATATACCTAGCTTTTCTGCAGCATGGGTCCAAAAATGCGCAAAATACCACAATCCGTCTTTTAATCCTGAGCATACATGTTCGCAATAACTCCTGAAGAATGCTGATGCAGTCCGTATCTAGGTAGAAAAACACTAATGACATCACAAGACTTGACCCTTTGTTTTGATGCATACTGCATTCCAGTCGAATTTCAGTAGAAGCAGCGACCCTATTCATGATTCAGGAACCTGCATGCGTTCAGAACTATAAAATCAAGGTCTGCTGTACAACGCCTCAACTGATGCATCTTTTGTCGAATCCTGAAAAAGGACATGCATTTTATCAGAAGCCCGGTCAGTAAGGAGGCACATTTTGTTGCGAGGATTTCTTTTTCATTCCCTCTCATCCCTGTATAGCGCCTATAAAATCCATTATTATTGCAGAAATGTACTTACACCCTAGACCCTAAATTTTGAGGACCTTAGATTTCGGAGCAGGTGTTGAATGAAGCTTTCGGAGCACCCCTGACCCCCAAATCAAAACCTTCAGAATCAAAGCTCCGAACCCAGTGTATCTAGGGAATGAAAGAGAAAATGGAAGCTACAATATCATTTTGTGGTTAGGGTTCAGGGAAATCAGCTTTGTTATACATCCCTGACCGAAAAAAAACCTAAACTCCCATACCTTAAGCCCCTTAAACTTATTGGTAATTGATGGGGATTTCGGCGATTGATGCTCATAGTAGATCCTGTGTAACCTGGTGTACTGATCACCATCGAATTCCTTCGTTCTCTCCTAACCATAAGTAAGAAAAACAGTCCGCCCAGCATCTCAGATGACTAGTATTTTATTTGGGGGTTCTATGCTCCCCAAGATAGTCCTTTTGGGTATGGCTATCTAGAAAGAAGAGTATGAGCTATAGTCTAAACTCCTAACATCTGCCTTAGTAACCCCGACAATACTCCCCAATAGAATACCCTAAATGACCCCTCCTTTACTAATTGAGTTTAGATTACGGCTCATATCATATTAATTGGTTCAACAACCAGAAAAACACTAAACTCTAAACCCTAAACCCTAAACCCTTAAACCCTAAACCGCATGGCTCAGATCTTCATGGCATCGCTGACCAGGCCATGCTACCTCAAACCAAATGAGCTATAGTCTGAACTCCCTTAAAGGGGGGGTTATATGGGGGATAATATAGGGAACTACT